GAGCAGGGAGCCCGATGCGGGACTCGATCCCGGGACTCCAGGATCATGACCTGAGCCGAAGGCAGTCGCTTAACCAACTGAGCCACCCAGGCGCCCAGAATTGCCTTTTCTTTCTGTTGGATTTTAGGGAGTCAGCACATCACACAGCCCTTGTCCCTCCTGAAGCCCTGAAACATCCCCCAGGGAGGACGGTGGGAGCCGGCAGGGCACCGAGGGGTGTCCGATGTCCCCGCTGCCGCCCCTCTGATGACTGACCCTGCCCCTCCCGCGGAGCTTGAAGCAGCAGCAGGTGCTCCCTTCAGGGGCTGTAGAGCAGGACTCGGAGGCCGAGGGGCGCGCCGTGCAGAGGGCAGAAGCCTCGGGAATCGTTCAGTGAAACCCAGGAAGTGGAAGGGAAACACTCGCTCCGTCCAACTTGCAAAAGATTCTGTTTTTTTTTAAAAGAAACATGCAGAAAATCACAAAGAGCTCTTCATAAACAAACAAAACAGAATTGAAATGTTCGGTGGAGGGGTTGGAATACGAAATTGAGGAAACCACCTGGAAAATGGAAGAGAAAGACAAAGAAGTGGGACGTGGGAGAAAAGATGAGAAACGAGAGCCGTGCAGAAGGAGGCCCATGCTGCTCAGGGGCAGAGACCGGCGGGGCCGGCTGAGTGGTGCGGGCAGGCAGGACGGCACTTCACATCGTTAGCGAAGGTGAAAGGTGAGTATCTGAATTTGTATTACCAAGATGAACGTTTTAGGAGAGATTTTATTTATTTATTTTATTTTAGAGAGAGGGAGAAAGAGAGTGGGGAGGGGCGGAGGCAGAGGGAGGGAGAGAATCCCATGCAGGCTCCCCGTCCAGCACGGAGCCCGATGCGGGGCTCCATCTCATGACCCTGAGATCACGGCCGGAGCCGAGACCAAGAGTCAGAGGTTCAACTGACTGAGCCACCCAGGCACCCCCCAAAATGAACTTTTAAAAACCTGAAGACACCAATGACAACACAGGGAACTTCTAAAGTGGTCCCAGAAGCTCCCTAAGGGAAGGACCTACAGGTGGGCACTCCCAGGCGGCTAGGAAATGAGTCCCCCCACCAGGGAGGTGGAAACTGTCCAGAGTCACTGCTGGCTCACGTGGAGCAGCTTCACCCTGACACCAGTGCCGCGGGAGAGGGGGTGGCCATGGCCGCGGGAGGGGGGAAAGAGAAAAAACGACATGCCAATAGAGCTGTGGCACAGAGTGAAAAGTCCTGAATATGTAGTAAGTAGATCAAACCAGGCAGCATCGGGGC